ACTTATTGACTCTGCTTCTTGTTGCAATCGAACTCCTAGCCGCCTTCACAATAACAAAATAAAACACGAATGAAGAAAATCTAACTAAAACAACATATATACTGCAGCGACGAAGAAACAACAGATTAAACAACAAACTGGAGAAGGGGAAAAGGGAAAAAATAGAAGGGTCACCGATTTCTCGCTCGGGGTTCACCGACCGCTGCAGGGGAATTCTGAGCTCAATCAATTTGTCGCGGTCGAGGTTTTTCACGCAAACGGGGTTGTCAGATTTGGTAGCGAATTGCGTGAATCTGGTAGAAATTGACTGGTCGAACGCGACGGAGCTCAATAACTCTGCCATGGCGGCGGTTGCTCGATCGAGGAGCTTGGAGAGGCGGTGCCCGGTGAGGAAAGAGAAAAAATTCAGGAGAGATGAATTGCTGAATTGGTTTGGAAAATGAAAAGAATGAGTATGTTATCGAATTATATTGCCATTTTTTTTTCCTCTGGCAGAGAGATAGAGAAGGGGTGGGTAAATGAAAAGGCCGTCTGATTGCGTGCGTGCGAGAATTCTGCAAAAGTAAGAAAAGAGTTGTGTTGACGTGCCGTGAAAGTTGACAAAAAGTACATGTTTAAAGTCGGTTTCAATAAATAAAAAAAAAAAAAGTCATACAAAGTGCAATGCAATGTGCAGTGGCAAAAATGTAAAAAAAAAAAGAGGGACACGTGTCAACTTTTAAAGAGCACAAAAATGGACACATTTAAGACCCTATAACTTCTCCATATAAGATATAAGAGAGATATTTTAACATATCATTTTTTATCTTTTATTTTTTATATCTAATATTTTATTTCCTATATATTATCTTTTACTTTTTTACGTCTTTTCTAAATTGATGGTTTCAATTCAAATCTTTCGTCAGATTTTCTTTTACATACATGATGTCTCTATCTTTTTTAATAACCATAATTTGTCTCTTCTCCATATTCTCTTTCTTTTTCATCTTCTTATTTTATTTGTTTCAAAAACCCGATCCAAATTGGTGGGCTGGTAGGCATTCATTGTCATACCTAATTGACTAATAATTGTTTTTTGCTGCACTTTTATTTATATATTGCTATATTTTTGTACCTTACCTGATTTTTTTGTCTTTTTCGTTGTCATGTTTTGTAATTTTGTTCGATAGTTGTCTTAGTTTTATTCATGGGACACTTGTCTGTTGTAAATGGAGAAAAAATGGTGTTATGAGGTTTGATTATTGTGTGAGATCCAGGATTGAGTGCTTGGTCTGGAGAGAAAAAAATAAATTTGAAGGGATTTCTTAATTCTAGTTTGTTGGATTTAGTGCTTAGTTTGGACTTTGGATAGGAGAAAAGAAATATGAAGGGATTTCTTAATTCTAGTTTGCTATGAGAGATTTCTTTTTGCATATTTTGCACTTTTGGTAGACAATTTTTATTTGTTGTAAGTTTATTTTTGAATGGTTGATCATGGTACGCAATGTGAAAATGATCAATTAAAAAAATATATATATTTCAACTCATGTTTGGCTTAAATAAATGGACATATTTGGCTTGTGAAATTTTTAAAAATTCGCATGAAGCAACAACTTTAGGCCAAAAAGGTCGTCGAACGGGAATTTATTAACAGTATAAGTATAGATTCTATTGTTGATGAATTTTATTATGTAAAAGTTCGTTGAACACAACTTCAGTAAATATTTGAAGAAAAAATATTATGTGATTTTTATGAAAATGAGTACTTAAAATTTTAGCCTAGTCTACTCTTAGTTTCTGGATCCATCCCTGTGTAAAAGTGAGTCTTGTATTGAGAATAACTTAAAATTGAAACCCTCATATGAAAATAGTTAAAATAACTTAAAATTGAAACCCTCATATGAAAATAGTTAAAATTAAGACTTTATTGTGACACAATAACAAAAAGTCGAGCATTATAATGAAATTTTCCCTAATATCAATAACCAAAACAGCATTTTGTTATCCGTCGTAGAACGAAAACAACATAGTACAAAATCAACCCACACATAAGTTTTCAAGGCATATTGAAAGAAGAAAACTACAAACACAATTAAGTGGCCAACAAACTAAATGTAAAAACACAGTGCATCTTGCATGTTCAACATCACATACAAACAATACCCTTCAAACAAGGTACAGTATTAAATTTCAGGTTTTTTATTCCAGAACCCCGAGCATAATGATAGGGAACGGTGTCTAATTTGCCAAGTCTCAACCTTGTTTCTTCCCAGTCATGCCAGCGACTACCTGCAAAAAGAGTTGAATCCAACGGTGTAAAAGGAAAAAAAGGCCAATCTTTATGAACATCAAAAGAATGACACAAAACAGAAAAAATACAAGGTCGTGAGGAATATCTGATATTGGATAACTCTTATCTTACGAAAATATGCGCATTTAAATCTATCCCCAGACAACCACCATGTTCATTTACAGATCGAAGCCAATGAATAACTAGACGGGTAATATATACATGTGTGTGTGTGTGTGTGTTGCAAGGCTGTGAAGTATCTAAGTGGAAGACTCCATACATCATTTTGAATGAAGGAGATGAGATCTCCTATTCCAAAATCATTGTTCCAATTCATGTTTCAGTCCAAAAATACAACAGCATGAAAATAAGGAAGTCCAGAGTGTTTTGTAATAGTAGTATGAAGCAACAATGTAGCAGAAATTTACAGAACGCATCTTGGAATTGTGGAAGGTTGATTCCACCGTGAACACCATGAATTGCATTGGACACGTGTCAATTATCTAATGGAAAGAACCGGGAATTGGAACATGATTTTGAAACAGGAAATCGTTTCCACGTATGAGGACCCATAACTTACCACACTTTATCATATAGCAAAACTAACCCACCATTCCAAATTCCGAAGTGTTTCCGTTTCTTCTTTTTTTTTCTTCTTCTTCTAAAACCAGATATATCCTTTCTAAGCAAGAAAGAACTCATCATCCATGAGTAACAAGATTGAATAGGAGTCTAGACAGTGGACTTTAGAGATACACCCAATCATATCAACAAAATATGATACATGTTGGAAATCAAGCTTCCTAGTGCATGAAATTTAGCACCCGCCTAGCATGTAGAAAGGTCGCGCAGACTGCAGCTAGAACAATATGATCAGTCTATAGATGACCATGTCATTCATCACATATACCAATAAACTACTCAGGCCAAGGAAAATTAATCCGATACATGTAAATGTTTCATGAGGATACAACGTACGCCCATTCATTTGGTGCACAACTCCACCACCCCTCTCCACCTTAATGGGGGAAGATATTTTCAAAAAGGACACATATGTGAAACAAAAGCATCACTAGAAAGTGTACACGTAGGTTAATACAGTAATCCAAACATTCATCTACATAACAAGAAGTAACAGGGGAACTGATGCAGCAGAAGCTTATGGAAGATAGTGTTCTTCAGAAAACCAGATAAACAGTTTCTTTTCTTCGTTCAAATCATAATAATCATAACTGCCTTTTCACAATGATCATCCGATAGTATTAAATAATATCCTATCTTACAACATAAAATTAAGAGCCCAAACTAAAACAAGCTCAATACACAACATATATAAATACACACATATATAATAATAATAATAATACATATAATAAGAACAAACTAAAGACCTAAGTCGATCATATTTGTCGAGATATGCTAATGCAATCTCGTCGGCATCAGGAACCAAACGAAGTATCAATATGAAGAAAAAAAAAAGCACTTTCTCGTTAAAATGTGAAGGCAACCAACACAACACTTACATCGCCTAAAGCCGGTGGAGGTACTTGCTTTGACGATTCAAACGAATCCAGTATAGGCCTAACTACCGCGGGAAGGAACAGTCCTACAAACGCCACAGTTCCACTTGTCTTAAGAACACGATATTGACCAACATATAACAACAAACAGATATGTAATTAACATCAAAAGACGGGCTTCCGCCCACAAAAACATCATCAGTTCACAAATCTTAATGAAAATTCCCAACTCTTGAGAGTCCTCATTATGCATTAACAGCAAAAGGAAACAAATACTAACAAACAGTACCAGAAGCTTCCAAAATTTCACTTCTTCATCTACCTCACTTGAAATTAGGGCAAAATTATGCGACCTCATCAACTACTTTCAAATCCGAAAAAAAAATTATTTTTAGCACTTAATCAAATGCAAAATCCCAGATTCAAATTTTCCTGCATCTGATTTAAGAAGCAACAACGACTTGACAAAATGTTCACGACCACAAGAGATCAAATCAAGGAACGAAAATACTGACCAACGCCGGTGATGAGGCAAGAAGCGGCGACTACAGGCTCTTGGGCTACGAGCATTTTCAGCTTGTCCATAACCGGCATCTTTTCCGGCGGCTAATTTTCTGCTATTTCTCTTTTTCTGTAAATTGCTATTTTTCTCGTTTTTTTACAGCTCCGAGGTGTCTCTCTGTGTGGAAGCGAGCTTCAAAGTTCGTTGAGGAGGATGGATTTCGGGTCCCTGGATCTGGACTGGAGATTAGTTCTGGGCTCTCTAGTAGAGGTGGATTATTTAAATGGGCTAGTAGATCACAGGCCCAATAAGCTCAGTTTCAGAAGAAAGAAGAAAAAAAGTGAAGTTTTTTTGGTAAAGAGCCTTTTTCTTATGCGACGGTTATTCAAACCTATCTGTTCGCAAACACAATCGATTTGGCTCCTTAAACTCGATTTGTTCATTTACTTATGAGACGAGCTAAAATGGCTAATTGAGCTTGTATATTAAACGAGAAGAGTGGACCTTGTTCGTGAAACCACTCGTTTTTTATGGGTAATAAACGAAATAGTCGAGATAAACTTATTCACGAACTATATTTCATGTTTGCAAACACACCTAAGTGAAACCACTCGTTTTTTTATGGGTAATAGACGAAATAGTCGAAATATTCATGAATTAATATTTCATGTTTGCAAACTCACCTAAGGTTTTAGATTTATTAGAGGAGTCAAGTCGAGCGGCGAAGAGCCTTTGCTAGTTTATTAAACAAGCCGATCTGATTGTTTGTTATACGGGCACGTGAATGAGCTACTCGGCTCGGCTCAAATAACACCCCTAACTGTCAACATAACAACATGGATAGTAGTTTGTATAATCACAGGGAGAACCAAATTAGGTACCACACATGAGTGTGTGAGTGTGTGTGAGAGAGAGATTAGAACACAATAAGTAAGA